GGGCGGAGGGAGTGCTTCCCCACGGCTCCCCGCTCGTCGCCCCTCTCCCAGGGGGCCGGGGTGGGGGCGGGTGGGGGTGGGGAGAGGGCCCGGGAGAAAAGTTTCCCCCCCCCTCCACTCTTTTCCTTCATTATTCTTACTGATTCTTCTCCTTCTACCCTGGGTCTCTTCACTTTTTGTTTTAGGAAACTATGTTTTGTTCTAGTATAAAACCCTTCAGGTTCTTTTATTATTTTTTCCCCTTCCTCTCAAGTTATCCATCGTCTTGAAATCTGGGGGGGCTGCCTGGGGGGGCCGGAGGGGGGGACACGGGGTTAGAGCCTCCCACAAGCCCAGTGAAAAGATTACTGTTATTTAAAAAGAAAAAGAAAATATTCCAAGGTAGCTCAAAGCGAGAGCCCTGGGTGGAAGGAAGGAATACAGGTCCAGGCTTTGGAGAGCCTGGCAGAGTTCACACTGGAAAACTGCTGCCTAAATGAAATTTGCAGGTTCAGGTTCTCACAATGGAGGCTCAGAAAACCAGGTCACCCCCGATGGTTGACTTACTGCCACGAGCGGCTCCTGCCTAGCACCCTGCAATCTGGACCTCTGAAATGTACTTTTTCCTCTATCACCATGCAGGTATATGAAGTTTACCCCCAAGCCATTGTCGTGTGCATTTGGAGCTCAAGCTAGCAGTTTTCATTAACCGATAGACTTGCTTTCCTTCTAAAAATCACCCATCTTGCTTCAAAGACACACATAAAAAGGGAAATCCAAAAAAGGTCCCTGTCTCACTCAGCACAAAGGGTATAGTTGGTGGGAAAGAGAAGTGTGGTGGTTGTGACTCGAAGTCATTTGGATAGAACTGCACTCTGAAGTTGTTAATGATTTAAACTCCAAACCTGCTACTACAATTGAAGTAAAAAAAAAGTCTGAAGACTTGTTTCATAAAACTCTTTCTTTTTTAAGGGGAAACTTTGAACTTAGCGGAATACATTATATGTCATGAGTCAGATACAGCAAAAAATAAAATGTAAAAGGTGCATTATTGAACTACATCTTCCCTCTTCGAGATTAAAAAAAAAACTCTGACTCAGTATGTTAAATATTTTCCCACCAATTTTTAAATAGACTTTTTTCATCAAAGAAATGGAGGTAGCTTGAAGGTATAGAACATTAAAATGACACTCTCTGTAAGTTGACATGAATCATTCTTCCTTGAGCTTCAGACTTAGAAATCTCTAATGAGGGTAAAAGACAGTTACGGGGCTTACATTCTGACGAAGCCCCTTTTAAAATAACCATAAGGCTCTATAGTGTACACCTGTCCTAGAAAAGCTTAGAGAATACTGAATAATATAACACCCCCCCCAAAAAAAGATACAAAAGGGAATCTCAGGAAGAGCCCTTCCTGTCAGCTCCTCTCAAAATACCTAGCGTCCCAGTCTCATTTGAAGATCTGAAGAAAGGTTTTAACACATACTTGTGTTTTCGTCAAACCCCAATCCGAGTGGTCACATCCAAGAGGGACCATCTTCTTTCCGTCAGTTCTTCCTAAAATGTTAGCTTCAAAAAAAAAAAAAAAGTAGTTAACCAGACATCAGTGGCTCACTCCTATAATCCTAGCAACTCAGGAGGCTGAGATCTGAGGATCGCAGCTGGAAGCCATCCTTGAACAGGAAATTCTATGAGACTTATCTACAATTGAGTACCAAAAATCAAGAAATAGAGGTGTGGCTCACATAGTAGAATGCCAGCCTTAAGTGGAAAAAAACAAAAACAGACACAGGGACACTGCCCAGGCCCTGAGTTCAAGCCCCAGAACTGGCACCCCTCTCCACCCCACCACCCCCAAAATGTAGTTAAATTTCCCTGCAGTGTCATCTGAAATTGAACTATCAACTCAGATCAAATGCAGCTCGACATTAATTAGATGCCCCATTCGACTAGAAATTAACAGATGGGCTTCTTCCTGCCAGGGAAACCCATTGCCTGGAGCCTGCAGATTCCAGAAGATTCTGCACTTAACCCCCAGGTAGTCATAGCATGCCATCAGAGAATCCTGGGCAAACCTTTGGCTATGATATTGAGGGTTACTACTCAGTGTAAACACACCACCACCTTTTTCAGAATTGCTCCTCTCTTCACATTGTTTAGTGCACTATAATTGAAAACACACGTTAGGCCTTTCCTCAAAGCAGAGTCCATTTCCTGCGACCTTTTAAAGGCATGCGGGCAAATGCTGTCAACTTTTAATTATATAGGTGTTTTATCAACAGCCAAAAGCATTTTTTAAATTGAATCTATTCATACTACCGCCTCTCCAAAAATTATTTGAACTAGTACATATAACAATGGAGAATGGAAGTAAGGACAGGACATTTTCTGCTTAAATCGCAGGCTGGGATCTGCGCTTCAACAACACACTTCAAGGTCATTTGCATTTCACTCCTTCATTACTGCATGCTCTGGGAACACCAACTCATTTTAATGTTAGGCTCACCTAAAATATTAGGGCGACAAATAATGGCAGTTAATACAGTTGATTTCAAGATCCAAAATTTGGGGTGTATCATGAACATGGCTTACTAAAGTCATTGGATTGAAACATTCTATTTGATTCCTACCCCTATCCCCAGAAGCAGATTTTCAAGGCCATATTTTGCCTTTGTAATCATGGTACTACGTCCACCCTCATCTCCTATCACCTTCTCCACTGGGAGATTAAGATAGATTTTCTGAAAATTGTATATTCTCAAAGGTTTCCAATGGGCCAGCTGTGCGTGAGGTATGCTCCATGGAAGGCCCCTGTTGCGAGGCATAGGTGAGGAGAGCACTTCCTCTAAAGCAGAGTGAGGGCTCTGGCAGGGTCTGTTGGTCAAGACTGTTTTCCTAATAAGAGTGCCATATTATTTCCCCCTTTCTTCATGTTGACTTGTTCACTGATGGTGGTAGAATGCTGGCAAACCTGACACCAATCAAGGCAGGGCACCAAATGTGCCACCATTCATTCTGTTCTTCACCACAGAGGAAGTTTTTTGTTTGTTTGTTTGTTTTTAAAACGCAGATTCATTTAAGATCTATCCTTAATGAAAAAGATGAGTTTATTACATCTGAGCCCTTGAGGACAAGACTTTTAAATATTCTTTGTGACAAAGTGGTAGGTATAAATGAAAAACACTCCTACTGCAGTCTGAAGTTGTGTGAAGTTCATGGGGCATTATTTTTACTCCAAAGAATGACTGGCAGACAAACTCAGACTGAGGTATTTCTCAAAAAAACAAAACAAAAAAAAAGTTGAGTGAAGTGAGCCTATAATTTCAAGGAAAACACTGCATAACAATTTTTTGGCAATGATGATATTTGCACTGGCAAATGAAAATTTAAAATTTAGATAACTTGGATTCATTACCATGCATTTAGCGACTTTCTAACATCCAGGAGGGTCTTTTTTAAAGAGATCCGTGGTGACATTAGTAGATGTGTCAAGATTTTGGAAGATCTGCATAACTCAGTTTAACCCACATTTTCCAATGATCAAGGCATGATGTTACTAAATCATGTTGTAGAAGATCCACTCAAAGTACAAAATAAATCAATGGATTTTAATGCTAAATAATAGAAAATGTTCATTGATATGGTTTCAGATTCCACCCAGTAACTGTTAAGAAATCACTATTCATTAAATTTTAGTGTTGTATCGGAGAAAAATATAGATATTTGAAAAGGCTATTAATATATTCCTCCCTCTTCTAACTATATACCTATATAAGGGTGGATTTCCCTTCTTACAATGTGTGTGTGTGTGTGTGTGTGCGCGCGTGTGTGTGTTAGAGAGATAGAGTGTGTGTGTGTGCGCGCGTGTGCACCAGTACTGGGGCTTGAACTCTGGGTCTTGTTGCCCTCTTACTTGGCACTTTTGTCACCTCAACCACACTTCCTCTTCCAGCTTTTTGGTGGTTAGTTAAAGATAAGAGCATCAAATAAACTTTTTGGTCCAGGCTAGCTTTGATCCAGGATCCACAGACCTCAGCATACCGAATTGCTAGGCTTATAAGTCACCAGCTACAGTTCTTTTCATACGGTGTCAGAGCTTCACGCAAGC